ATCTTTTAAACGTGATATTCGTCATCAGGAGCTCAAGTTGTACTAGTCCTGTTACTCTCGAACAATCCGGATAAAGTCGGTGTAAAGCCTGGTACGCTCTCGAAAGAATCACCCCCCAAACATTCCAGCTATAAGGGGATATGCCTCAGTTCTAAGAAAGAGTCGGTTCAAACTCTAACGAAGAAATGTTTTGCAACATGCTACAACTTTTTCGATTGTCGTTCTATCATCAGTAATGATCTTTTGAAAATTAGTACTATTTGCTAGAATAACTGTAAGATTTTTATAACTCGTCAGCTATCTAACGGTGGCTTCAAAGACTAACAGATTGGCGATTAGCACACTTTAGTCTACTGGCGGTGCACAACATATACCATTCAACACAGACATACACTTAATTATGTTTCTTACTCAAATTTCATGTTATTGAGTATCTATCTTCTAATGGTTTCTTATTATTCGTTTCTTCATTTCTTCATCTTTCTTGTGATCTTTTAACTCCTTGTTTCATATTTCGACATTTTGTTGATGTTTGTGCATTAAAATTGAACGTACCGAACCTGATAACTATGTCTGTCTTTAACGTATTCTAGAAAAAAAAATACAAATATAATCAAAAAATTTTCTTTGTGCAACAATAGAATATTTAAACATTGCGTCCAACACATCTGGCTTTTGTTTATATATTTTAATAGCTATTTTCTAGCATATTTATGGTAGTAAAACACGTAGTCAACAAATTTTTTGTTGTTTCACCCCAACTACCGCCACCACATCTCACTAATTTGTCCGCTCTTAATGGTATATTTGGATATGACCACATATAAATAGCAATTTGACATAGAACGAAGAGTTATAAGATGCTTCTTTGATGCATTACGGCGTACTTTTGCCGTTATATTTGATACCATTAAATTTTTCTGTACTCCCATCTTTCGTATTATTTCGTTCAAAAAAGGTACAATGCTCGTTGGTGGAGCGCTATGAAGGCAAAAATCTCAGCTTACAAATATATGTATTTCAGCTTTAAGATGAACCCTTTCTGTAATACGACATAAATTTGTATATGCTGATGTTACACAAGCACTTGTTGAATCTGAAGACAAACAATCATTGTTAAAAAGAAACTCTATTTTTATCAAAGTTCTTAAAAATATAATGTAATTAAAATTAATGTGATAAGAGAGATATATAGTGCGGTACTATAAAATGTAAGTCAGTAATCTATATCATCAAAAAATAATAATAAAACATTAGCAATTGAAATTTTGATGAGATAAATGTTTACCTGTCAAAGTAGACAATGGAGACAACCCAACATCTGGTAATGGCACACCTATACAGTAGAGAAAACGCAAATTAAAACGAGTAAAAGAAACTTCTCTCCGAATTTCAGATTCATCTAGGAAAACAACTTTTGCTTCTAGGGCATTAAATCGCCTCAAACGCCAGCGAATCCGGAAACATAACGTATCCGTACAAGAAAGGATCAAAAAAGTTTTCACGATGAAGGAACGACGAAAGCTTACAGTAAATACAAATATCTTTTTTAATTTGTACCTCGTGAAAGTATCTTGACCGATATTGTCGAACCAAGTTTCTCAACAAAATAAGCTAAGTAAGTAAATTGATGATTAAAATATAACTCGTCTACTAATATAAAGAATCATCCTACCATCATATTGAAAAACAGCTAACGCCCCTGTTTTACTGTCTTGAAACGTAATTGTACAATATTTTTCCGCTTGATAATATATTTTTTTGCATTATCGGCGGTATTGTCATGCTAGAACAGAAAATAAATATCTTTTTAATGCAGATTCACACATTGCAAATATAACCCACTTCAGTATCTCCAATATTGAAGAAAATCGTAAGTTTCATCCAATATTACTGTTGCTGGTAACTTTTCAACCAATATTGTTATATTGTAGTTGCTATTAATTTCCTTTTCATTTGCATTATCATCATCATTTTGAAAGAAAACTAAATAAGAAAAGAATGAATGACTTCACAAGTAGTAATAAAACTATAGCATATTGAGAAAAAGACTTGCAAAGCTCCATTATTATCGTTCTGCCTAGCCAATAAAAATGAAAAAAATACTAAGGAAAATAGCAGAGAAAGAATGCAAATACATAATAAAGATAAGAAACAGAAAGAAAAAAAGACATAAAAGGAGAAGAAAGGAAGACGATCGGATCGATTGTGCTAAGAGATGCAGACCAAATTGCACATCATAAACCTTTTAGTTGAAAGAATATATTCAATAACACTACGGTACACTATCAAATACTGTTCCTTTGAGAGGAGAATTTTAAGCAAGAGCAATTCACCTGTTTCGGTTAGTCTTGTTGTTGTTTTTTTTCCGTTTTTGTTCTAAAGATTTCTTATGGTAAATAAACGAGGAATCCAAATAGCATTTGATGGTCCAAAACCTGTCTCTCATTCGTTGATATCAGCTTAAAATATCCGTTCATTAGAACCAACTTTAGTGCTTTTGATCCATTTTGAATACAAGAGCGTCATAAACATATTCTTGAAAATTTTCACTCATAAAGTTTAAAAACCAGTTTATAGATCAAAAATCTTACACAGCAAGAAATCGATTTTTTTCATAGATAGATAGTCCAAAGTGTCTTCTACAAAGTTAGATCTAAACAAAGGTTTCACTTTGTTTACTTCCGTTTCGGAGCTTCGAACGTTTTTTCCGAAGCCCTGAGACTGCCTTATTCTTCGCTTTGGGAGCTTCTGAAATCACGAAAACATAGGTTAGCGAACGAGCTGAATCCCCCAGCAATGATAACTTTCAGAAGAAAGTACAAGAACGACGTGAAAATCAGTACTAAGTGAAATAACCCCTTTTGGGCCATTTTCATCACAAATTAAAAAATTCCTAATGCAGTCAAAATCCTGTTCTTTTGAAAAGCAAATACACAGTTTTATAGTGCTTGAAAAGCTAATTCGAATGATGTATCGTGTGATTATTTTCAAACTGTTGATTTGCAAATAAAAAATATTAATCGCTGAATTATCCGTAATCAGCGTTAATTAGGATTGATTAATGATTAATCTATATCCCAGCATAGCTTTTTCTGAAATATCTTAAATGCGATTATAACTAAAAATAATTCGCGATCAAAGTACACTAGAATCACGTTGGATAATTAGCTTTAATTAAACGGTTAAATTTTTAAGAAAAGGCCCAGCAATGAAATTTTTAGCTAAAATTTTTTATCTTCATTAATTCATCACTCCGTGAATACTAATCCGTGAAGATTTAATAGTATTTTTTGTGAGGGGGGGGGGGGGGGGGGGGGGGGGGGGGGGGGGGGGGGG